TTACTAGACTTCAGGGTTATGCCATATCTAAAAAAAATATATTGTGCTATTGAGTAAACGTTAAAAAACCCACAAAAAAACAACTATTGTGTAGGACTGCAGAACAAGAAGATGTAAACAAAAAAGGAAAACAAGCAAACCCCCCCCCCCACCACCAAAAAACACAACCCCACAACAAAACAAACATGCAGACTTCACACTCTCAATTAAGCACTGACACTACAAAATACATGTCAAATGAAAATTATATTCATCAGAGGATATATTTGGGCATTACTAGGTTCTTATAATTTTTGGTAGGCATGACATGAATGATTTGGCCCACTTAGGCTGTCCAGAACATACCCCAGCAGAACGAGACAATTTGCTCCATGAAATATATTCACCATGTCGGAATCAAACTCAAATATTTTGTGCACCAGAGCAAACAGTACAACCCTCTGTAAAGACCAATAAAAAAAAGGAAGCAAACGTAGAAGTGAATACATTCTTCAGTTTGGAGAGAAATCTGTAAGATAACCATAATGCAGGGAAAAAAATCAAGACACAACTGATGTTGAAAAGAGGAAAAGTATAGAAATGGAACCTTCCAGTGGGGTCTTCCAACAACTTAAAAAGTGCAAGTAAAATCAGTATAGAAGTGCTGGTGTCAAAGAATCTTAGGATAATAGGCACCCCCCCCCCCCCATACTATAGTTAAACTACATAATGAATCATGAGATACATTATAAGACAATTGTCACCACTTCCATGGCCGGAATTGACAGTTGCGTCTGCCACATTTTTAATATTGGAATTTATTTCTGCTCCATCTGAAAATTGTGGGAGCAACCATTCTACAGATGAAGGGAAAAAATTTTTCTCCAACACCCCCAAAAACATTCTTTCAGGTAGGTGTTTTTACATCCCCATGGCACAATTTAGATCATTAAGAGAAGGACACAATATCCAAGTAGAAAGACCGAGAAACTCAATAAAAATTCACCCCCCCCCCCCGGATGAACTCAGGTCTCCTGCGTGCGACAGCAAATCGCCAAACCACACACCACAGATGCCAGTTCCAACACCCAGAAAAAAAACAAAAAAAGCAAGATCGTGCAGAACAAAAGATGACACATATAAGTCAAATATACCAGCCATATAAAAATAACCTTGAGGCTCAAAACAAAGCTAGAGGCACAAGCACAGAAGATAAAAACGTTTCAAAAAGAACTCAAATCAAATCAAAAGTTCAGGGTTTTTTTTTTTTAAAGTTAAGCAAAGAAACCTGGCAAGTTGAAAAGAGAACAAGACACACCAAAGGAAATGCACACACTGTGGAAAGGATTCCACAGGCTATTTGAGCTCTTCACTTCCAGCCATGAGATGAAAGGTTTGAGTTTAAGCATCCAAGGATATTAGAAGGCACTGCCTTATCATAACTAAGGATAGAGTTTGGCATGCAGAGGTCTACATCTTACGTTCGATGGAAACACATACGGCTATCTAAGCCAGTGCATACCAAAAAAACAACAACAAAAAAGTCAGTTGCTGTGAGCTCAAGGAAACTGTCAATGTTCTGCAGCAAGTAAAGAAGACATGGTATACTTGAAAAGTTGCTGTCATACAACCTTGTGGCAACGGGTTCAAAGAAGGAACTGAGAAATTCCACATCTTGCTCCCACAAGACCACTCACTTTGACACGCAAAGAACTACATCAAATTTGGCAACAAATATTCTCAACAAAAGCAACTTTCAGGATCCCAAACACCCACTTCACCTTTATAAGCACAGGGACCCAAGCCTAGACCAGAAATCACTTTACAACCTAAAGACTTCCACACAAAATTTTCCATACAAGACAATAAATCCACAGCACAACATGGGCATACACACATTCATATGTCATAACCCAAGTTTCTCTAAACTTGTGACTTCCAGATAAGCAATAATGTTAAATTGTTTAAACCCCCTGTTATCACCGTAAGTTTATTTAAGAGGTGGCAACCTCTAAATTTAAATTCTGTCTTCGTAAGGACCAAGCCTTACCCCCCCAACAACTTAGATGAACGCCCCATGGGAAATCAAACCCGGGCCACCCACTCAATGGTGAAGTATGATATCGTCTGAGGTAATGGTGGGCCCACCTTCACCAGTAAAAATTATCACAGAGCAAAGGAAGCATAGAGAGTGTATATACTCTAGTCAAAGAAAAATGTATCTAAAATATCACAGATCTGTAGTGTAAGTCTTTATAACAAACCAACAACAAGGAACATTCATTCATTAATGCACTTGCATTGACCAAACATTTTTTTTTTGACTGATAAGATGGTGAAACAAGCTCAATGAACCCACTTTCTTCTTACTACCGTCACACCTTCATTAAAACTGCAATCAACTTCTACCAACAACTTCCACCAACTGAACATACATGATGGTGTCCTTGAGACAACTGACAATGGTGGCATAATTAAATAAACCCTGAAACTAGAATAAAATCGGATTGTCAAATCACTCCACGTTCAGTTGTGTCAAATCCCTCCACTCTTCCCAAAATTTTTTTAAAAAGTATTACAGAAGTCCTTATTTTCAAGAACACCCCTGGACTAAAACAGGGGAAACATTATACAGAAAGCTATCATTTTTGGCTGTTGAATAAAACTGCAGGCAGACAATATCCTATAGCAGTGTGGTAGTTAAATGTTCTTCACATAAAAACACTGACGGCTAAAAAGCAGGAGTTTAGACGGTATTTCAAGCAGATTTGAAAGGACGCCATTCAGATCCTTTACTGGTTAGTACCTTTTGTATTTTACACCCCTTTTTTGCCTTATGATGTACCTGGTACGTCATGAAAATGTGTAGTTTTTAGCTCTAAGCCATACTATGTATGTCACGAAAATTGACAAAATTTGCCGTTTCTGGTTGCCAATATAATGTTACATGTACGTCACGCTAATAACCAGGCTCTTATTCTTCTGGAAGGAGTTTTAGCCACAAGCACTGTGTAGATTCGTATTCAGGAATAAAAAATGTGCAAATCAGTACCAAATTTGCTAGTATTACTCTACTGCTAGGTTTGCAAGCAATCGATTAACAGATCTAAGCTGTCTAAGCTTGCAGGTGGCCGCATGTTTCGTAAAACATAAACATCGAAATGATTTTAAAAAGGCAAAGGCATAAAATGCAAACCATTGAAAAAAAACCCAAACCATAATCATACTTGTCTCACCACCCCACCTTTTCTATTCATAAAATCAGTACAAAAGGCACAAAAATTCCTTTAAAGCACCTGAATTCAGAACCAAAAATGTGGTCTGTTACAATGAGAAAATACCAAAATTGAGTAAAATGTAAAAACATGATTTTCCATACAAGTAAAAATGCCGGGGGGAAAAAAGCAGGTAGAAAAGATTCAAATAAATGTACAAATTCTTGAACAGCATTTTTGCAAGTGTTTAAAAATACAAACATTAACAAAATATGTTAATTTAATTCACTTCCGAATGAGCACATACATACACACAGTTAAGGGAACAATCCCTAAAATGAAGCATGGAGAAAAATATGCAATGGATGACCACAGCAAACCATTTCCAAACTGCTGACTACAGCAGGTCTCACTACATCCTCATCCAAACTACAAATGACTAAAAATTAACATGAATGTTCTCAAAACTTTTTACTACCAAAAGGCATTGTACAGTACTTCCAACAGCTAAAACTGAAAAGTAACGAAAAGCGTGCCTAGGATCTGGGGGCTGCACAGCAGAACAGGCCCTGCAGCAGGGACCAAGGACAGTGTCCCGGTGGTAGTTCAGGGGGCATAAATTGAACCTCAGTGCTTTCAGAGGGTTGAAAATGGCATTTGGGAGCCTGTTTGAAAAGACCCATAGCACGTATTTTTCCTTTTCCAACAAAATTTTAGCTTGTGAGAATTCTTCACCTACATAGATTTCCCTTTCTGGCAATGTTTAACAACAAGTTCCCCTTGCTATTGCCGGTACAATTCAATGAATTTGTCATTGCACCATTGACTGAAGACAAACCTAGGAATGACACAACCATACCTCTAAATTCTATCAGTAAAAATTTAAAGAGTGAAAAATAAAATATGCTCATATTCATAGTTTCAGACTTGCCAAACATTTTACAGTAAGTATTCTTTTCTAGAAAGCAAAAAACTTCAACACAACTATTATTTCACTAACATTTTACTGTCATACAATAGGAAGACAGAATCAACACAACACGTCAAAACAGGCACGCAACTTTTCCACATCCCTCTTTTGCACTTCTTTTCAAGAAACCACCATACCTCTCACACAGCAGTTCGCATCTCATCACTCAATTGGATCACACAAGTAAACACACAATGACAGGTATCTTTTTAAGTATACGAATTCCTATCCAATCCATCAGTGGTGCAAAAAACGACAAATATGATGCTTTGCTTCTTAAAACATCCCATCGCAACTCCCAACTCACCAGCCACCAAGGAGAGATTACTTAAAATCTCATTTGGAACATAAGCAGTAATGATGAGAACCAGTAAACTCCAACTATAATATTGGCACCAAACATAAACACCATGGAACATCCGAGATATTTCTGTTGCCAACATGAGATTTTTCATTAAAATAAAATTTCAGAAGGTCAAGCCTCAAACACAATACAGATGTTCAAAAATTGTGAACATCAAACGGTCTTTCAAAAGTCATCAATTTGCGTTATTCAACCCAACACACAACAATTAAAGTCATGTAGAACCTAGGTTCTCGGCTACACAATGGTGTAAGACCAGCACTTTCAATGGCTCAAAGTGAAAACAGCCACACTCCCCCCTTCCCCCACCTACAAAGATGAAAGTACTGTTGTATGGTATAGACAGAATGTGTATGCATGACTGGAAAACCTTGGCTTTTATTGAAAGCACAAACATCATAATTGATCTTAATCATTGAGCAAAATAAAAACTTATCTACTTGGGACCACAAGTTACCACTGGGACACGTACTACTTTGGCACACTTCTGCTTGAACGCCTCCCTGAGGAAGAGGAAGAAAAAGGAGAACACAAAATTAATGTTTTGTTTTAGTAAAAGTTAAGTTTTCGTAAGGTTTTACGGTGCTCGCATAAGGTCATATGAGCGCCAGAAGATTGGAGGTGTTACAAGAGAGTAACACATAAAAAAGAAGAAGGGGAGATAAGGACGATAGTTGTTTGATAGGAAAGAAGGAGCAAACACACCAGAGCACCCGCCAACCACCTACAAATATGAGTTTGTGCATAGTGAATGGTGAAAAAGTATGGGTTTAACGCCCCTATCAACACTATTAGGTTACTTAAGGGGCGGGGCCTCCTAGTTTAACGTCCATCTCCGGTAGGACCGCGCCAAGCGGGAAATTCGTGTAAACTGCCTTTCCCAAGGACAAAACATCGGACTGAGCTGAGGCTCGAACCCCTGAACCCGCAATCTCACGGTTACACCCACAATCTAACCACTAGGCCACCAACGCCACTTTTGTGCACGGTGAAAGGTACCAAATGATGCATTGAAGTACAGACACCATTCATTTCTGAACAATATGCTTTTTTAATTTATAAGATATCTCCAGTAGGTTGTGTTTTTTTTTAGATATGGGTGATTTTGTAAGGCAGGGTACGGAAACACTTTTGGAAAAAAACAGCTTTAAAGTTTCCCCTTCATTTCTGCTTCAAGTAGATAGATCTACGCTTCGAGACGACACATTCGCTACTCACAAACCAACTTAAAAAAGCATTTAAGAGAAAAGTACAGCTTTTAAGTGTTTATATTATATTGTATCCAAAAAGTCACCACAACCTTGAGGAAGAATTTTGCAAGCTTCGCTTTATTTACATGTTCTAGATATTCATGCACACTACTCGCCATTAGAGAGGAAAGAGAATGACCTAAATTTTGGTATGCATTGAGATTGAGTCGACTTTATGAATGGGCAAGAGAAACCATCCGCAATGTCTACTTGAAAAAACAATTTTCTCATGCATTTTTTTAGGATTATGCACTTCTAATAAAAAAATCTTTAAAAATGTATTATAAAGTAAAGAAACAAGTCCTTGTAAATACCGATATATAAATGGCTAAAGAATCCGTTTTTAATAGAATTTAGTTTTTGTCAAAAATTCTATTTTTGACCTTTGAAGCCTGACATCTCCATTCGAACAAATGCGTCTTTTGACAACTTTCACCAGGCACGCTCACATATGCACTTGGTAATAGTAATTAGACGTCTTTACAGATTATATGTCGAACCAGCTCACTGACAGGCACATTTCCACAGACACAGATGAAGGACAAAAGCAAGATGGAAAAGCAGAAAAGGCCAACCACATCATATTACCCATCAACCAACAGTATCACCCCCCATGGAAACTTTGATTCGACCCTGCCTATTAGGACAAATCCTAGCTGTGTGCAATTCTATATTACAGCTGAAAGACAGAGAAACCAAATAAAATATATTTCCTACACGAGAATCTAAAGCTTGTGTGCAAAGGGAACAGCTAACCTTATCACTAGACCCCTGCCTTGTTCAGGAAAGATTCACAAATTTTTTACATATTGTCCATGCTACACTGGAACCTTGTTAACTCGAATTTTAAAATTCTATAGGAGAGACAAATAAAAACAGCTTAACATAGTCAATGTCAACACTTAGGCAATCAAATTTTTGTCAACGTGTTGTGGTGGGCCTTAAACAAAATCCTGCAATGAAGTATGTGTTTTACCCAGCACATATTACACAATCTGAGTTAGCAACAAAACATCTTTTCGTCAGCGAGGTTTTTTCCATCTACAGCGCTACTCTGTTGAACCTCATTCAGGTGTTAGCGAGGGTCAGAACAGCGCAGCACAATACGTAACTTTCAGTTGCTCTGGACTAACCTCGTTTTCTTTGGGTTGTGTTTAAAAGCACATGTTTCACATGTTCTCGGTCGTCCCGATGCCTAGCTAGTAAACTATTATACATTTTGTGGGTGAACATTTTTTTGTTGTCCCTCTACACATGAAATCAACAAAGTAAGTGACAAAATGGAGAAAGACAGCGAGGTTTGCACAGAATTTAACCCTTTGACTGCTGAATGTTTCTCTGCATTATTTTCCATGAATGCTGAATTAAACTGGGAGAAAAGCAAATTTCAGACAGAAAACTTTTTTTTCTCCATAACATTCTTATTCTTCAAAATTTTAGGAGCGTAAAAGTAAAAAATTAGAGCAAATTGAATGTGTGAAGAATTTTTAAAAAATCCAATTTAGCCTGGGACCCTCAGTTTCGTCAGGAATGTCAAAAAGTCAATCTTCCCCACTCCAACCTCAGCAATTGAAACACCTCCCTCTGGACAAAAGTCGAGTAGATCTACAATGTCCGAACCATTATTTCCCCAAGTCCCTGAGCAACTTCAGCCAAGTCTGAATCAGAGCCTATAAACATGTTCGGTAGGTCTAGATCAGACCCACAATCACTCTCCTGATCCGACATATATACCCCAAGGCAAAAGCTGCAATGTATTTTTGAGCATTTATAGTTTGAATTTGAAGTACATTGTGTATCAGGAAACTTTTGGTAAGAAAAAATAAAAAGATTTCTGAGCAAAACTCGAGCTAGCGAGGTTCCAGCAGAGCATTAATGATATGCAAGCACAAAACTCACATGATGTGAACTGAACAGGAGATGGGGACCAACACCCCACCCCATGACTCACAACATAAAAAAGAAAAGAGAAAGAAAAACATACCATGACTTCTGCGTACTACTAGCAGTACTTTTTGTCACAGGAACTCGGGATACTGTGACAGACGTGTTCTTAGCGATAAGCTCATCACTTCTCTCGTACACTGAAATAAAAAACACAAAACTTATTACACAGTACTACTACAGACATCATCTGTGGACAAGTGCAAGTACGGGACTAAAAATAGAGAATTCAGCTCTTTAATCAATTTTTTAAAATGAACTGGTCACGGTAAAAGAAACGTCTTTATTTCTAAATAGAGTAAAAAGTGTTTGTTATTCATAAAATTAGATACCGCAGACGGCCTGTTTTGAAGGCAGACAGCCAGATTTGGACAACTTCATCCAACTATTTAGCTGGTTTTAATTTTTGTAAACACTAATAAAAATTATACCACTGTTTTCTGTGTCTTTCCTTCTCCATTGTGAACGAGAAACTGATACTTATGATTGCATATTTAGTTTTTAATTGACTAAAGTTTAAGACGAGAAAACTTGACCGTCTCGCAAATTTGCGCGCTTACATTTGGGGGGTACTTGTTTAAAATTTCGATTTCTCAGACGCGAATCATCAAATTTTCTTGCGGTTTGAAACAAAAATCTGTGATTTCAGGAGAATTCCGGGGAATGTGTTTATGTTTTTATTCTGAGCGGAAAGCGCAATAGGTACGATGTAAAGACGCAGAAAGCATTTAAAAATATTAAATTCGACACAAATCGGGCTATCCATGCCAGAGTCATATTCGTAGACATCTCTGCCATCAAGTTTGTGTGTTTAGAAAAGCCAACTACATTCCACGAAGTAGAAATATTACTTTTTCTGAAGTGGGGTAACACCCACTTTTGGGAGATCGTCATTCTGCCATTGTGGCTGTTCCATCGCTCATTGCCGCCCCCTCTGATTGGACCCAACCAGCAGACGATTATATGATGGTTCAGTGAAAGAAACATTCGATGGATCTGTTCATGGCGTCGATTTATGTAAGTATTATCATAATTTTCTTTTAGGATACTTATGAATATTGTGTTTTGAAAAATAAGACTAATCGGCCACCACTTGCAGTGTGGTTGGATTTGTTATTGTTTGGTAGGAATCACGCTGACCTACATTTTCACCACCTCATAGTGAATTAAATGCGATTTATACAACAATGTATCCCTTCATGGTGGTATTTTTGCAGTCTTTTCAACTAATAACACCTAATTTATTCTAAATGCAACGAAATCCAAGCAGCTCTGGTCGACAAAGTGAAAGAATTTAATAAAGCCGTGAATAGTTGAACTGGTAGTTCTATTTATAGTAACATGTCATCACACGCTTAACTTAACACTCGGAAGGGGGTTACTGCGTACTGTTACCGATGGAAATGTTTGTAGATCTATTGTTAGGCATTTAATTTGATAACAAATAGGCTAGATCTACGTTCTTGATTGGTGGATATTTAATTATTGAATTAACCAGTCTTTTTTTCTGTATTCTTAGACTTAGACGTCACCTGATAATTGGAGAAATCCCCCCCCCCCCCCTCTTTCTCCCCTCCACTTACTGGACAACATTTTATTTCCCCAGCCACTGGTTTCTTTCTCAGAAAACACCCCCACAAAAAACTTGGCACATAATTGCGGGTTGATCATCCTCCAGTAGGTAACATTAAATTATTACATCTAGAAAGTGAAAGAGCACTGCATCTCCCATCCCTCACTCACCCCTGCACATTGATTGATGCTCTGAAAGAACTGAAAATGAATGTTCTCAATTTCATGTTACTGTAACTATACTTATTGCAATAATCATTACAATCGAAACTATCAATAAATGAACATGATATTTTTCAGGTGACGTACCTATCATTGAAGACGACCTTTTTGATGGCGGCAGAGGGAATCGAACGAGGCTACACCACTTACGCCTTTGAACAACTTACTCCTTGTGCAATTGTCATTATAAAGAAGGGACAGAGACAAGATGAACCACGGTAGAACAGTATTTTGATTCAATTCAAATTTTTACAGCCCCTGAGTAGAAATCTTACTTTTCTCAACCAATATTGACGTGACGACTTTTTTTTACATTATTGTCCATTTCTGAAATGTATTGGTTTGTTTTTGTAAAGTGTATTACGGCCCTCGCAACTGCATAAGGTCATATGAGCGCGCGGGACACACCTAATATTTTCAGTTGGTAGGAAATTTTGAATTTTGCCCAGGTGGCGGCCGAAGCCTACTCTTATCGATTTTAGACCACCAAGAGATCTTTAACGTGCGCAACTTGCACACGGGCCCTCCGAGATTTTTCGCTCTTGTCCGAGAAGGCTAGGTGTAGATCTTTCCTACCAGGAGATCAGGGGTGTGGCAGAAAGACAGCAGTAAGGAGGAGCCAAGGAGTAGCAGTAGAAAGGCTGCAGAAAGAGTCAGGAGCCCAGAGGAGGGGGGAAAGGAGGTGAAGGGGTCGGGGCAGAAAGTGGAAATGAAAGCAGACAACAGAACATTGCTACAGAGCAGGAAAGGAGGTGAAAGGAGACAATTTTGGAGAGAAGAAAATGTTATGGTCGCTACCCGGATTCGAACCCGGGACCTTTGAATGAGAGGCCAACACCTTAACCTCTATGCCACGAGAGCCCCCTTCTGAAATGTTTGGAAGGTTTTTACTTTCTATAAACTAACTCACTGTACAGAGCCTGAAAAGAGCTTTAATCTGATATAATGCAGCTTTGTAGCACAATTTGTTGATTTTATATGAATTTTTTTCCAGCCGGCAGACGTTATAGTTTTCACTCAATAATGGCAGGGTTTTGGGCATTAGGGCCCTCTTATGGAGTGTTATGAGAGGTTTGAGTAAACAATTTTCATTTGGTCTCGTAGAGCTTGCAATGAGTGAATGAGCTTTAATTTAATGTATGATTTAGCCCTGTAGCTTAATTTGTTCACTTGTTGTGATGCTTTTTGCCCGAAGATGTACCAGGGTTCCACCGATTTTTTTCCGAGAGGCGTTTTTTGCCCCGAAGCCCACTTTAGAGGCGTCCAGAAAAGTTACTTATGGTCAGAGAGGTCTGAAAAAAATTCAGCTAAGTCTGTGCATGTATTTGTAATGATTGTGTGATTTTCACTCCAGGGGAGGCAGTTTTGACTAATTTGGAAGAGGTTAAAATAGGGTTCTGAGCTCGCAATGGCCTATTTTGGTTTCTTTTTTCCCCCCCACAATTTTTGAATGCTCATATTTTGGAAACTAGTCGTTCTAACATGCTTTGATTTAGAGATATCAATATTTGTGTTAACATCTCTGGGAAAAACAAAGTTTTCATTGATTTGATAATGCACTCTGTATTTTAGAACACTTCAAACATGGGTGAAAGTTGCAGTTGAAAAGGCTTCGTTAAAAAATAAACTTTGAAATACCATATCTCGATTGCTTTTTGGTGGATTTTGATAATTCTTTTCTTTAACGTTCTTGTTTTATTGAGTAGATTGAACCCGTAAGGTTTAAACATCAATATTGTTCAAATTTTTTTAGCTTGACTTGTGGTACCTAACAAAATCTGAAGTCAGAATACTAAAAATCAACGGTAAAAACTAACTTCTCTCTGATGGAGGGGGGCGGGAATGATAATCACAACAGAATCAGAAGAAAGCGAAAAGCCCCCC